GCGTCTGGTTGAGCCGCTGTGAGAACAGGCTGCTGGCCTATAAGGGTCAATGACCTGATCCAGCAGCCAGGCCCGTCTTATGTTCTGTTAATTGCACTTTAAATTCATGGTCTTTTTGCCCCAGTAAGCAGCTCTGCCCTTTTAGGCACTCTACGATGTCTGGTTTCAAATGAACCAAGGATGAAAAGATGTTTTGTTCCTCTCCTTGAGAACAGATATACCAGGAAGCATTTTGAGATGATGAAAGCCACGCAACTAATGTCTTGTCCGGGCAATCTCAGTTCATTGCATTACAAACATCTACAAGTGCATTGGGGGAAATTTAGTTTGCCGTACCTTGCTATTTTTGGGAGGGGGCGGGCAAGAAGGGGATTTTAATTCGTATTTGTAACAAATGGAGCTTTAAACGTGAAGCCAGGTGTTGAATGATGCTTTAAAATTTATGAACTTGTAAATCCACGAACATGGCCAATTAAGGTTTATCACCATCAAGGATTAACCACCCTTGGATATAAAGTTAAGAGGTTATTTTAATCGGGGTTGTTTACTTCCAAGCATGCAACACCCCCCACCCCCTAAACAAAGCTACCTAAAATATTTAAAAGGTGGTATACTTCAAGATGAAAGTTACAGTTAAGGTTACAGTGTGAGATTTCCAGAGAGACAAATCTAGGATTGCGCATCACTCAGTATCCTATATTTCCCTATAAGGTATCTAACATTGGGACACTTTAAAATTCAGCTACAATGGACACCAGGTAGCAGAGAATTTGAATGCTAGGATATGTAGAATATGTCTGCACTTGAAAGAGCTTGTCTGAAGCCATGGACAGCTGCTGCCAGTCAGTGAAGGCAATACTAAGCTTGATTGACCAGGAGTCTGACTCTATATGGCAGCTTCCTATGCATCCAGAACTCTTATTCCAAATTTGCTTTGCCTTTGGTAAAATAAATAAATAAATAAATAAAATCTGCAGGTTGTCTGGTTGACTACCCCTACAGTAAGAGAATATCCCCCTGCCTTCCACTTTTTAGAGTACTGAGTATTAGTAAATGTGTACATTTATGAGGTGCCCCTTCTATCAATTATTCCAGAATCTGAAGCTAACAGCATGGACACATGTACTTTATGGCTTTTATTTCTATCTATATACTGACGTGGCTGAAGAATACAAGCATTAATATACTGATTCCTATTCATGATGTAATAATAAAGAGCAAATCCTTTAAAAGTGTATTTCAGGGTGCTTTGGGAGTGAAGGATAATGCTTTCTCCCCTCTTCCCAGCTTGTTGTCGGTATCATACACACAAATCCAAACTCCAGCGCAAGCCAGTTCCCCTTGATTTTTGCAAAGGCGACCCGGGTCCTGGGTCGTAAAGTGAATTCAATTAGCAAACCTGCTGTTCTTCATAATCAACATCAGGATGCTAATTAAGGCCCCAGCGTCATGCTGCACAAACATCCCCGCGCATTACGGGGCTCCACGGCAGCCGGGAACTCTGCCTTCAGCTAGCATGCATAAACAAACAGAATTAATAACTATCCGAGTGTGGACGGGTGACTTAATCGGTTTCGATTAGATGCAGCTCAGCCTGGAGCCTCTATTATTTAAATATATTCACAGTGTTTAATTAAAAAGCCTAACAAACTGGGGGTGGGCTACTCGTCCTTATCTATATTTCTCCTGCTTTTGTTATCCTTTCTACGGATTCAACGTGTGTGCAGAGGTGCACATGTTTCAGATAAAAGGAGCCTGGGCCTCCATGCCGGCAAGAAGGAAAGTCCCTTCAATGATGCTCTGCAAGTTCAGAAGCTGTCATCGCAGGGACGTGGAACCTGTGACCTTTTGGACAACATTGGGAGCCCCGGCTCCCATCAACCCCAGCCAGCAGGGCCAATGGTCAAAGATAATGGGAACATCTGGGAGGTTACAGGGTCCCTTTCCCTGTATTAGCTGGATCATCATCAACAACAACATCATTATTTTACTTAGATGCCATTTAACGCCAAAATAAGCATTCCATTTTGGCATTCAGTGTTAATTTTTCAACAGATAAAACGCTTTTGCTAGTCTTGTGGCTGGGAAGACAGTGTGGGAAATATGCGGGCAGTGTCTGGTGTCATCTTGGAAGGCAGAGGCAGGCTCAGCTGGCGGCTAGGGGAGGGGTTCAAGGGAGGTAATGGTTCTATGTGGGCTCCCCACCCCCCACCCCAAGGCATCTGGTCGTCCACTGTGAGAACAGGAGGCAGGAGTGGATGAGCCACTGGCCTGATCCAGCAGGGTTCTCCTTATGTTCTTATGCATTTGCCCAAAAGCAGCAAAAGCAAAACAGTGCAGGAGGAATTGAAACTGGATAACTTGGATGAGTCTTGCTAATGCACTTGTAGTAGAATCAGATGGTTGGTCCTCAGTTGCCCTCCCAGACAGAGTATGGAAATTGAGATGAGGCCTTTTCAGATTTCCCTTTGGAAATATTTCTCTCTCTCTCTCTCTCTCTCTCTCTCTCTCTCTCTCTCACACACACACACACACACACACACACACTTGCTGTGTTAGCAATTTTTCACAAATCCATTTTGGATTTGGTTTTTATCTGCTGCTGGTTTTAAACAAACTGCCATTGTGACAGTTGTCATTATTTTTGTAAGCCACTATGTGGTGGTCCCAATCTTGCTGTCAAGCTGATCAGAGAGACCACCCAGGCCTAGTATGTCCATAGCATCCTAAAAGCTGCATGAGGTTATTTCAAACCTAGGATGAGTCAAATAGAGATGCTGTTTGGACCTGGATTATTCTCTGAGTCTCTTAAGAAAGCCACAGCCTACACAGCACTGGGGATGGGGGGCGTGAGCGAACTTTGTGACACCCCTGCAGGGTCCCTCTTTCTCTTTACAGAGTACGTCTGGTCTGGAGCGAACAATCAGGGGTCTAAATAAATAAATAAGATCATGAAGTTCCGAGGGCGGAGCTTTAAAAACTCCTTACAAATAAGAGAACAGCTTGAGGTCTGGCTTTTGCCGACAGTGGAGGCCTGCCAAATGGAGCTGGGAAGCTGGGGAGGGGGAAAGATGAGATGATAAGCGGAGACTGACAGCAGCAATGCCGAGCTAATGATCGCCATTCTGTGCACCCACAGCGCTCACTTTTTAGGGAGTGAGGTTTCATTCTTCATTAAGAGCGCTTTGCCTTCCTTTCTGATTTGTAAGGCTCCATTCTCTGTCTTTTAAGGCTGGCTGTTGATCAAAGCCGGGAGCTGAAATATCAGCGGCGCTTTCAGCATATAAAAGCAACTTGCAGGGGGCAAGGGAAGAGGAAGGAGGGAGGGAGGGAGGGAAGGAGGGAAAGAGTCTTCAGAAATAGGATGGCAGAGTCTAAGCACGGCGTGGATTTCTGTGGGGAAAGCATCTTTTTTCATCATGAGGGTCTCATTCCCCTCTGGGCAACCTCTTGAATGTCACTTGCCTATAAGCTACCCTGGAAAACATGGGGGGGGGGGCTGAAGAATGTGGCAAAAATGCTTTAGAAAAAAATTAACAGGTAGGGCTTAACCCCTAGGCATGTGAGAGTTAGGTAGAGCAACCCTCTCTTATCTACATCCTGGTCACACTATACAAAGGTCAGCTTCCAACTGAGAATAGGAAGTGCCACTCTACCCTTTCCTTAGCTCTGTAATGACAGCAAAAAGAGCAGGAGATGCGTCAACAAGCCAGGAAGTCAGTTGGCCTGCACTACAATTTGCTTAAGCAACACTGTTACTGCACCACCCTCTCTTCCAGATCTTTTCTTGAATGCTCCCTGCTTTCAGATACTCCTGGATACTCAGTAGCCCTTACACCATAAAACAACCCACTGTTTGTCTACCTTAATCCAGCCCACCTCCTTGGCAAGAATGCATGGGCCTAACTGATTGAGAATTCTCCATAAGCAGGAGGTTTGGAAGCAGCCGGGTGATGCAGAACTCCTGCCCTGCCCGCTAAGCGCGCTAAGAAAAAGTGCCACCCATTCGGGACTTAGATAAGACTCATTTGCTGACACAGCCCCTTAGTTACACTGCTGCAGCCCATTGCCACAGTTATGCTGTCTTCATAGGAGATTCTGACACTCGGAGCTTGCGCCCTTTTATTCCTGAGCTTTTCGCAACCCCAGAAGAGAAGGAAGAGGAGGAAGGAAACAGGCTCACAGTAGCCATTTTTACTGGCCTAGCTCCCAACCTCAGAATGCCAAGACTTTAGCTGGCACAAGTTTCTCCCTTTGTTCTGGGGCTGCCCTATAAAGCTTCCAGGTCCTAGATGTGCTGTCTGGAACCTCAAAGCAGAAGCTCTTCACCCTGCTCTTTGGACTATAATGGGGAGCACATTCAGGCTGCTGCCTTTACTACCACCACCCCCTGCCTAACTTGTGCCCCTTTAAAGCCACATTCCCTGCAGCTGCCCATTAAGCTGCAAATACTCTGGACAGGGGCTACAGTGCCACCATGCAACGTACGGGCCTAGCACATGGCTGGTGCTGAGTTCAAACAACAGAGGAATGGCACCAGGAAGCTGCCTGCCTGCTTTATCTTGATTGACAAAGCCCTCAGAATCTCTGCCGAAGCCACCCGAGGGGGGAAAAAACAACAACAAGCACATCTGACACTGAAGGAGCTAAGAAGCTCGTTTTCCTGGCAGCCGGGTTGGGACAACCCAGGCGAGACAGGCCAGGGGGCGGCCCAAGGCAAATCCACAGAACTCTCTCGTGCCCGAGGGCTTTGCCGCTGAAAAGCCGACACAGGGAAGGAAAGAACCCAACTCCGCTTATTCTACGGCTGCGGCATTAAGGAAGAAAGAATATATTCCCCGCCCCGCTTTGGCTAATTGGACACTGGCTGATGTAGCGGCTGCTGATCTGTGGGGTGTGGGAAACCTCTGCCTCTTCCTACAACCCCCCAAACCGATGAGAACGTAAGAAAAAGATTGGAAGAGGTTAAGCAGAACAGGAGCGGCAGCAGGTCCCCTCACCACTTCGTCTTCCGTCCAGCACTTCTCAATGAGTTTGGGCACAGGCTTCTTCACCAGGCGCTGGAGGGCTTTGCCAGCATCGTAATTGCTTTCATGTAGCTAAAAGGACATAGAAAGAAAGAGAAAATGTAAATCAGATCAGCTACATAACCCAAGAGAAAAGGCAGCTGGAGTCAGAAGAAAAAGATGCTCTCCACTTCTTCATTTTAGGAAACCCCCCCCCCCAAAGATCCACAGCCAAAGCAGATATTTAGGGTGGGTGGGTGTGCACACCACTCACCCACTTATTCCACTGGAAACAAAAATATGCCAAAACCAACAGACTTTTAAAAAGAAACGAGTTCCTGCACAGCCCTCCCTGGTTCATATTTAGCCAGATGGATGGAAAAAATTACCGTTCCAGAGGTTAGTATTTGCTTGAGGAACTGAGGAAAGGAATTCTCTGTGTGTTTGAAATTCACACCAAGCCCTCCACAGGTGCTGGTTGTTCCATATATTGGGGAGGTGGGGGAGGTGTCTGGAAGCCTGTGTGCCATTGGGTTGAATACGTTATTAGTCCTACTCAGTGCAGGGCCACTGGAATTACCAGACATGGCTAACAACTCCATTAATCTTAGTGGGTGTGAGTATGACTTTATTGGCTACAACCCATAATATTGGGGGTGGGGCGGGGCAGGGTGGGGGTGGGAGAAGCATGTTCACATGGCAATTACAATTTCCGTATTAGGTTCCCACAGGATTTGCAAGGGCTCTACCTTGAAGATTTTCCATAACTGACACCAGGAATTTGGGAAGAAAAACAAGGCAGGATTAAAGCCCATCATGCCCACCAGCTGGTGCCTGTAGTGCTCATTTAAAAATGTGGCAGGCCCTGCAAAACAACGCACTGGGCCTAAATTTGTTGGAAGACTCGGGATGGATAAAAGACAGGACTTCATCACGCAGTGCGTAAACTATGGAACACGCTCCCACAGGAGGCAGGGGTGGCCACCAAGACGAGCACCCTAGTGTGCACTGAATTCAAAAGAAGTCAGCTGATACCATTAACTCTCTGGAACCCACGACACCAGGAGATCCCTTGTTCAAATTTGCAGTTCCCAAGCAGATCTCACCCACTGCTCCCAAGCAGCCGAAATCGTGCCTAGGACCCCCAGGGCAGAGGAAACAGCATGTCCAAGTGGAAGCCCAAGGCTGGAGCCATACGGCATGGGAGGTTGACTACCCCTCAGTTCTACTGGTGCATTCAGGAAGATGTGGGGCAGCAGAGCCAGCTATAAAGCTGCTCACTTTAGGCCTGGCCCTTGCCGAAGCAGCACCTTCACCTCTTGTGCTCCCTGGGACTTTTTGCTAGAAAGCTCCCCTACTGTCCAGAGCAGGGGTAGGCAACCTAAGGCCAGCGGGCCAGATGTGGCCCAGTTGCCTTCTAAATCTGGCCCACGGACAGGACGGTCCGGGAATCAGCATGTTTGTACATGAGTGGAATGTGTGCTTTTTTAAAAAATGCATCTCTGGGTTATTTGTGGGGCCTGCCTGGTGTTTTTACATGAGTAGAATGTGTGCTTTTATTTAAAATGCATCTCTGGGTTATTTGTGGGGCATAGGAATTCGTTCATTCCCCCCCCCCAAAAAAAATAGTCCGGTCCACCACATGGTCTGAGGGACATGGGACCAGCCCACGGCTGAAAAAGGTTACTGACCCCTGGTCCAGAGCATCTGCCTGCCTTGCCAGACAGCTCCTTTACCTCCCTGTCAAAGCAAGATTTTGAGCCAGCTAGTGGGGGTGGGCGGGGAGGAATGGGGCCCCACACCAGGCAAGTCCACCTGGTGCCACAAAGGGCTCGCAGGAAATGGGTCACTGTGGGCAACTCCCTTCAAGAACACTGCAACCCCTGCAAGCAACAAGCCTTGAGCTTAAACAAGGCACTGGTGCCACAGAAACCCATCAATGCTGTATCACGCTGCTAAGAGTCAGGGAGAAACAGAGCCCAGCGAGAACTGCTTAGGTGAACCTTCTGCCTCTCAAAAGGATTGCCGCAGGTTTTGTCAGTAAATAGAAGCTTTTGTTTGTAAACCTGCTGTTGCTGCCGCTGCCGCCACCACCACCAGCGTCCATGTCAGGCCCATGACTATACTGGCAAGAGAGCGGAACAATGATTTCTTCCCCCTTTTCCTAGACCACAAGCTGGGATATACAGCTAAGATACCAGATCCTGCTGAGCCTGAATTCTGACAGGCAAAGGAGGCTGGCATGTATCAAAATGCTTTTAATGCTCAGTACATGCGCCTGGGCGCCTGCCTCAGGTGCTCTCTTTTTTCAGGCTTCCACTCTCCAACCTGCAGTATTACCGTGTCCAAAAGCCAGAAAAGACTCCTTCCTGTATTTCTACTTATCAAACACAACCAACGTGCCAATTTTTATGAGGAAAAGTAAGTAGCCCCCATTTATCGGTTCCTGTTGTCCTTGACCAATGGCTGTGCTAGCTGGGTGCTAGCTGATGGGAGATGGAGGCCAGAAACACCTGGAGGGCCACGCTTGCCTTAAATGAAACCCACAAACACCCCACCCACCCAGCTGTTCCCAATTTTGGCTGTGGGTGCCCCAGTAGCCTTCAAAAGAGAGTAGTCCTCACAAAACACATGGGTGCCTGCACCCTCTGCCTGCCAGGAAGCTTAAAACTGAATCAAGGCTGATTGGTTGCCCAGCTGAGCTCTGTGGCATGCAAGTATAATTCAAAGGAGGGCACTTCTGGCCACTGCTGATGTGGACACTTTCCACATACTTGGGCCACTGGATGATACAAACAGCTTACAGGTGCCACAAGACCCTACCCCACCATAAAAAAGTTGCCACCACCCATCTAATGTGAGAGTTTGGTCAGCCTCCAGATAGGTGGTTGGGGGTGCTGAGCACATTAGCCGCAAGCAACTCCAGACTGTCCCACCTTACATCTGTGATTCGGCTGAAGAACCTATGAAGCAGAAGAGATGAATCCCAGTCAGGTCTATTTTGAGGAGGAGGAGGAGGAGGAGAAAGAAAACTAAGCCTTGTATGAAAGCAGGATTTTTCGCTTGGCGAGGTACTCCAGTCCCTGCCTCCCTATTCATGACTCATGGAAGGAATCTATTTTTGCCCGGAGGAACGGAACAAATTAATTTCCTTCCTTTCCTTTTACTGAGCAAGCTTAACAAACTGGAAGGAGAACAGGGGCCGAAGGAGGTCAAGAACAATGGGCGGATGGCCGACTGCTCCAGGCTGGAGAAGCTGGAGGATGCTTTGGGACAGGCTTTCCCAACCTGGTGCCCTCCATATACTTTGGACTACGATTCAGCACACACTGGGCTGGGGCTGATAGGAATTGTAGCCCAAAAGATATGGAGGGCACCAGGTTGGGAAACGATGGTTCCAAGGCGTTTGTGGGACTCATACGATCAGGCCCCAAACTGTGAGTCTGGAGCCAGTTTGACATGTTTTCAGTTGCTCTACAGCTGTTCAGTATAGGTGCGCAGTGTGGCTCCACCCACTTGGAACTCATGCTCCTGAGCATGTCCACAGCATGCTGGTGTACACGTACACACACAGGCCTGCCGTAGTCCTGCCAACACGCACATCTTTAGTGCTGTCGCAATCTCACACCTACACATGCTCAAACATGTCAAGAACAGCCCCAATGTATGAGAGTGGCATTGATCTTGCTAGCCCTTGACCAAGGTCAGACAATTGGGGTCCATGTAGCTGATACTGATGAGCAGCGGCTTTCCAGGGTTTTCAGACATTTTTTTTTCTAATACAGAATAAGATCTTTGTAGCTTTTATGTTTAGCAACTTCTCTGCAGAGATCAGCATTCCTGAACTCCTCCCAGCTCTGAAAACTGCCATCCGTGTATCGAGATGTTTAGCTGATGGTATATCCCAAAGTTGAAAACCAGCTCCGTCCTTATTTCAGACATTGTGATATATCAGTATATTGCGATGTTTGGCTGGTGATATATCGCGATGTTGAAAACTAGGTATCGGCCAACCCTAGTTCTCTCTCTAGTTCTAGTGCTTAAAGCCTTAATTAAGGAGCCACATTAGTACACACTGCAGCAGTTGTAGGGAAATTGTGATCCTCTAGATGTTGCTGAACTACAACTCCTGTCTGCCCTGGCCATTGGCCATTCTTCCTAGGGCTGGTAAAGAGCATAAGCTCAGCATCTGTTTCTCTACAAAGTAAATTAATCAAGAATCGCATTTCTTATGACAAAAGAGCTCTCTCAAAGGCATTAAATAGAAAACTAATTCACATGGAAGCGAAGTACAACTGACTAAATTAAGTCCTTTATCCATGAACTGCTTATGAACGGAATCCTCAGACAGGGTGGTATTCAACTTTTACTCAGAGTAGACCTACTAAAATCAATGGACCTGCCTTAGCCTCATTCACTGCTGTGGGTCTACACTGAGTACCACCCACCAAATGGGAGTGGGTAGGACATACATACACACAAGATGCAAGCCATTTATATAGTCCGTCCCCCCAACACAAAGGGGTGTTACATAGAGATAACACATGTAGAAACAAAATGTAAAAAGTAAGATAAAAGAATGAGAATTAATAAATTTATATCCTGCAATTTGGATAATTCCAAATATTCATTGATGCCGAATATATATTTATTGGGATTTTACAGACCACCAGCCATTGAAGAACCACTTTGTGATTTAACATACATCTTCTCTCTCTCTCTCTCTCTCTCTCTCTCTCTCTCTCTCTCTCACACACACACACACACACACACACACACACAATAAATGAAGAACTACCAATATGTGCCTTTTAAATCACAGCACTTCTTCCCTGCTGCCCTGCCCACATCCCTCAGCTACGACAACAGACATTAAGCAGCTCTGGATCTCAGGCAAGAGCTTATTAGCATAAACTCCACCACATTAGTACAATGGTTGGGGTGGCTTTCTTCTGCACTGGGGGTGGGGCGTTGCATTTTGACACCCGCTTTGCAACAGAGCTGCCATTTTCTGGCTGCGTGATACCGCAAATAAATTCTCCTCTTGGCATGGCTCAGCTGTCAGGCACCTCTGTTCGGTAATGAATCCATGA